TGTATTACATGAAATCGATCATCTGAAAACTTGTACCTAACACTACGCTACGCAGAAGGATATCATCATTTGATATTGGTGTTCATTACTTCAAATCAATACCTGAATAACCTAATTCACACAGATAAATATATTTGAGAATTCAATAGGGTCAAATACTTAGAGAATTTTATATTTCATGTTATGCTCCACATATTTCGCGCCATATTTCTGGTCAAGTGATTTGATCGGTTATGCTTCAGTGAACAATTTCACTATCAAAACACGGATGCGTCTATGTTCGTGTCAGTTTCTGCTTGTACTCCAATCAAGATGTTTCAGTTACTAAACTTTCGTGCTGCCTGTTTCGCTTTACCAGTTCTTCCAATAGAATTATGGTCTACTATACTTCGGTAAGTTATGATAATTTTGTTGTTTCTCTGATGTCGCCATCGATTGAAATCGTTGAAATAACAATTCACATTTTTTTTACAGTTTATTGGACCCTTTGTCACTGTTGGCATCTGCAAGAGCTGATACAACCTTCATGGATGTTTGCCTCACTGACAAAGTATTATGTCGAAAAATGAAAGATGCCATACTCATTCAAGAAAAAACCAGGAAGAGTTTATATATGAATCCTAAAATGATCCCCACTACTATGAAATTCAATAGGTGGTCTCATTCTTCAAATTTCCCAGCTGAAGTCATTGATTCTGATGCATTGAATGCAAAGATGTTCTCGTCTTCATTGAAACAGAATGATCATAAACAGCATCAAAAGATGTCGAAGAAAAACAAAAAACGATCTTCTACAATTCGGTTGTAAAAATTTTCATCTATATATTATCCAAGTCATATTCTGATCTTCAGAATAAAACACTGTATGAATGTGTTGAATGGTGTAGGTGATTTGGCAATTCGTAGGCTTATAAAGGGCTTATAAGGGCTAATAGGCTAGCTGGCTAATAAATGGTGCACTCACACTCAATTCATCTATATTACTATATCCATAACAACAATAATATCTCGCGAACATAATACAAAAGGGATTATATATACAAAGGGATTCAATAAATATAAATCTTCAACATTCTCCATCTCAGTAAGATGTAATCTTACTATACTTCTTCAACCAGGTCTAGTCGGATGAGTTTGGCAGCAGATCGTTTATAAGTCTTCTCCTTGATTTTGACGTCGACGACTCGTATCCTCTCATCTTTCCCAGGATATGTTTTTGTAACCATTCCCATAGGCCATGAATTTCTCGGAGAATGTTCATCGATTTCCAAAACTAAATCACCAATGTTCAATGGTGTGTTTCCTTTCAGCCATTTCTTTCTAGGCATAATTGTAGGCAGGTATTCATGTAACCATCTTTTCCAAAACATGTTTGTTAAGGTTTGAGCGATTCTCCATTGGCGTCTTATGCAAAAATCTTCTTTAGTAAAATCACCAGGTGTAATCAGTTTTCTTCCAGTGCCAATTAAAATATGATTTGGTGTTAAACATTCCATATCATTTGGATCTATCGATACGTGGGTTAAAGGCCTAGAGTTCACAATATTCTCGACTTCAACCATCAAAGTTCTCAAAACTTCTTCTCTTGGTGATCTTTCTTTCAAAATGGCATAAAAGGCAGTTTTTATGGATCGTATCAAGCGTTCCCAGCAGCCCCCCATATGTGGAGTGAGAGGTGGGATGAAATGCCACCGGATGTTCCTTTTTTCCATGTCTTCTTGCATTTCTCTGTTCTGAATAGTCTCTTCAATAGATTTCCTCAATTCCTTCTCCGCTGCTTTCAAATTCGATCCATTATCAGAGTATATATGTGCTACTTGTCCTCTTCTAGCCATCATCCGACGAATAGCCATGATAGCCGAACTTGTATCGAGAGAATTTGCTATTTCTATGTGTACAGCTCGAGAAGTTAAACAGGTAAAAATTACACCATACCGTTTTTCTCTTCTTCTACCAACTGTCACATCTAATGGCCCAAAAAAATCTATTCCAGTATAAGTGAATGGTAACATAAAAGCTGCTAAACGACCTTCAGGTAGATCACCAATCACAGGAATTTCTGGTTTATTTCTTCTCTTCTGGCAAAACAGACAATCTTTTGCAACTTTCTTGACTACCGATCTAATTTTAACTATCCAAAATCTTTGGCGAATTTGATTAATTACATAATCTGTACCTAGATGTACACATTTCTTGTGATAATGTTCCACAATCAATTTCGTCAATCTATGCCTCGAGTCTAATATTATTGGATTCTTCATATCTTCATCTGCTACTATTGCTCTGCTTATTCTTCCTTTCATTCTTAGTATACCTTCGTCGTCTAGAAATGGCGATAATGACAATAATTTACTAGACTTTTCCACTTGCTTTCCTTGTTTCAAATTATTTAACTCTTCACTATAGCTTTCCTTCTGAACTTGTCTAAACCAAATGTTTTCTGCACATTTTATATGTTTCTCTCCTAAATATTCCAAATCTTTCTCTGATATTAATTTAGTTCTAATCTTTAGTTTTTCAATAAAATATATCACCCAACCTGTGGCTCTGATTAATCGCATCCAGTTTGAAAATCTATCCAGCTTCGGTAATACTTCATTATCATCGATGTTATTCATTTCCTTTATAGTTACTACATATTCCTTTCTGATTTCCAATTCTTTTGCTGTTTTCTCATTTTCAATGATCGGGTTTACTTGATTAATAGGCCAGTTTTCCTCCGAATTGGTTAAAAATTGCGGGCCTTTCAACCACCTGCTCTTGGACATAATTCCTGTATTCATATATCCTTTTGTCCCTTCATCAGCTGTATTTTCTTTTGTCGAAATCCATTTCCACATATTGCTTTTTGTCAATTCCTGGATCTCCTGAATTCTGTTTGCAATGAATGGTTTGAATTTTCCAGATTTTTTTCCTAGCCAATATAAAACTGTCTGTGAATCGGACCATAGATATATTTTCGAAAACTGTATGCTGGTATGTTCAATGATGAATTTAAGTAATCTGCTTCCTGTTAAAGCTGCGAGTAGTTCTAGTCGTGGTATCGATAAATGTTTTAGAGGTGCTAATCTGGTTTTTGCTATCATGAATGAAATATCGACATTATCCTTTTCCTCGATCCCTAAATAGGCAACTGCACAATATGCTTTTTCACTTGAATCGCAAAATATATGTAACTGTATAGAAGCATTTGGGGTGAGTATATCAGAGAACCATCGTTTTATTCTCACATTTTCAATTCCTAATATAGCATTTCTTAATTTTTCCCATCTGGTCTTGAAACTTTCTGGCAACTCCTCGTCCCAATGTAATTTGGTTTTCCATAAATCTTGTAGAATAATCTTGGCCATTACCATGACGTTTGCTACAAATCCTAACGGATCAAAAATTGACATTATCAATTTCAGTAGCTCTCTTTTTGTAGGTAAAACCTTTCCTTGTAAAATTTCCGTTTTCAGTCGCTGAATTCTCAAATTGAACATAAATTCGTCAGTGTTAGGATCCCAGTGAAGCCCAAGTATTCTTTCATACGGCATTTCTGTCTCCAAATTCAAATTTTTATTTTCACTTGATCGAAGCTCTTCAGGAATCTGCATCATCACTTTCTTTGAATTGCAATTTCAGTTACAGATTGTGAAACCTCCTTTTTTATAAATAGAAATAACTTGTCTGATCAGTTTAATTGCATTTTCTTCACTGTCGGTACTATCTAAATAATCGTCCATATAATGATGTTTCAATATCGCGTTTGAGGCTTCCGGGTATTGTGAGGCAAATTCTTCCCCATTTTCATTCTTGATGAACTGTGCTGAACAAGGAGAAAATACTGTTCCAAACAGCATAACAGACATTTGATATTCTTCTACTTCCATGTTAGTTCTATTTCTCCATAAAAATCTCTGGGCTGCAGTGTCTTCATTTCTTATTTTTATCTGTAGAAACATTTCCTTAATATCTCCACTGAAAGCTATTTTATTTTGTCTGAATTTCCATATGATTCCGATTAATGAATTGTACATATCAGGGCCTTTGGACAACATATCATTGAGGCAAACATTATGGGATTTGGAGGCAGCATCAAAAACAATCCTCATTTTAAATAAATGTGAAAAGCTCACAGTCATTTCCACCCAGTGTTCATAAAAAAATGAACAACAATGGTAGATTTCGGGAGAAAAACAACTACTTCCCTGGCTAATGCCACGCAGGATATTGAATTACATCCTCCCGAAATCTATGCATCGACTCGTTCAAACGAATACTGATACAAGTGATTCTTTCCTCAATGCCTATTGATTTCGATTAAGCCAGGCCGCTAGACAACCACAGACCGGTTTCGAGCTCTTTGACTCTCATCAGTGCAGTGTAGTCTCCAGCCAGCAGTCCTAAGACCGCCGACTCAGCGAAGCCTAGCCAAACAAAAATCAAGTTGGCATTATATCCACCCCGAGGCGTCTCTCATCGATAAAATGAAAGTAACGCCATCTGAGTAGAACCGAGGAAAGAATCACTCCAAAACTGAAATTCCCATACGGGAGTGGCTGGCAGCCCGACTGGCGTGATATGAACTACGAAATAGCCACAATGCTCACAGTGGAGTGAAATAGTAAATAAATGTGAAAAGCTCACAGTCATTTCCACCCAGTCGGCGGTCTTAGGACTGCTGGCTGGAGACTACACTGCACTGATGAGAGTCAAAGAGCTCGAAACCGGTGTGGTGGATCTGTGTGGACTGCAGACTGCCATTTTCATCATTTTCGATTTTTTCTTGAATGAAAAATGAATAATCATCACAAGTTTTATTTTCGAGAAGATATCTCTACTGTTCGATGGAGTAGACACGTGCTTGCACACTGCTGCTAATTTGTTAATTATTGATGAACATTCTGAGTTAATAATCTTGAGTTTTGTTGTGGTGAAAGAATAGCTGAATTTCAACTGACCCAACGATTTTGGTGAACCTGATATAGCTGTAAGTTTGATTAATTTAATTAATAAACATGGGCTCCCGAAATAAACGAAATGATGACAAGAAGGGCGAGGATGAACTGCACTCATTAGTTGGAAACTTAGTTACATCTATATGTACCTCAGAGGATTTCCTAACTCGACTCACCGACACCATAGCTTCGATAATTGAAAGGAAATTCTCTAAACAGATAGAGTTGTTGAAAACTGAAAACACCAAACTGAACAAAAAAATCGATAGTCAGGAAAAAGTGATTTTGTCATTAGTCAATAGACAAGAAAAACTTGAGCAACAAGATAAAATGAAAAATGTTCTGATTTTTGGAGTGAACGAAAATGAAAGGGAAAATTGTAGTGAAACTGTAAAGACTATTTTCAAATCTAAAATGAAACTGGAAATGAAAGATTGTGATCTCGGAGTCAGTTATAGAATTGGGAAAATCAATAAAAATAAAAGTAGACCCATTATTGTCAAATTCTCCAACCTATATTCGAAGAATATGATTTACGGCAATAAAAAACTTTTGAAAAGCACTGGCATAGTCATTCGAGAGGATCTGACGTCATCGCAACAAACACTGCTGAAAGCTACATTGAAAAAAGTTGGTTCTACTGGAAGTGCCTGGACAAATCATGGAAATATTTTCGTTAAGCTCAACGATGGAAACGAAACATCTCTGATAAGATCATTCGAGGACCTTGAAAATCTTTGAATTTATCTACAAATACCGCTTCCATTAGTATTATAGCTCAAATAATTATTCTGTTTTTTTCAGGAAATCATAATAGAATGTATTATTAAAACTTCATAAGAATAAGATTTTGCAGCACTTAGTGCAGTTCGTATCTATTGACCGTCTCATTCATTTGGAACAATACCACCTGTTTTTTTTTATTCTCATTACTGCTTTTTACCTTGTCGTTGAATTGTACATCTGGTTTAAGTTTTTCCTCTCATATAAGTTCATATTTATATATAAATATATATATATTTTTTCTGTGAATGTGTACAAATTTACGTATAGGAAGTCTGAACGTAAGATCTTTGATCCCTTCATTACAAGATGTGAAATTGCTTATAGAAAACAATCAATTCGATGTATTTTCAATTTGTGAAACCTGGTTGAATGATAATGTTACTGATGATATCATTGAGCTGGATGGTTTTCGATTATACAGGACTGATCGAAACTCCAGGGGCGGAGGTTTAATAATTTATATAACTGAAAAGCTACTTAGTGAAAAAATTCATACCACCGAGCAATCTTTTGAGCAACTCTGGATAAAAATCAAAATTAGGTCTAAAACGTTTGCTCTTGGTGTCATATATAACCCACCAAATAAAAAAATCAGCAATTTTTTAAATGACTATGAAGACTGTTTGAGTTTTATATATCCAACAGTAGATGAATTGATATGTACAGGGGATTTTAATGTTAATATGTTGGAATACGAATCTGAAAACGTTAGGAAGCTTTCTGCCATCCTAGACTCATTTGGCCTGAGTCAAGTTATTGACACTTCCACAAGAATTACTGGAAGGAGTGCTATTCTCTTGGATTTGATCATCATTAGGAAAGAATTAGTTGCGACGAAAAACGTTGTTGATTGTGCTGGAATATCAGATCATTCCCTTGTAACTTGTGATTTGAAAGTGACAAAAACAGAAAACGTTTCGAAATTTGTTGAATATCGTAGTTTCAAATATTTTAACGAAAATGATTTCAGACGGGACTTATTCAACATACCCTTCTTCAGAATTTTTGATCAGGATGGTATTGATGAGATGGTTTCATTTCTTGTCAACAATTTGACAAATTTATTTGATAGACATGCCCCCATAGTAAGAGCAAGAGTAACCAAACCAAAGGCTCCCTGGCTGACAGACACTATAAGAGAAATGATGAAGACGAGAGACAAGGCCTTGCTCAAATATAAAAAAAACAAGCTGGAAGTTGATTTTCGTTTCTACAAAGATATGAGGAATTATACAAACAAAGCAATCAATAGGGAGAAAAAAGCATTCTTTCTATTTCAGTTTCAACAAAACAATCCAAAAAAGATGTGGCGTACTCTAAAACAGAATAAAGTTATTTCTGATAAAGATGTGGATATTCCCGAATCTCTGAAAAATGTGAATGAAATTAATAATTTTTTCATCAACTCAATACCCATTATAAAACCACCAGACACTCTCATGGAATTCTATAAAAATAATTGCTTGGCTGATTCTAATTTTTTTTTCAGAGAAGTTAATGATTTGTTTGTATATGAATCAATCTGTAAAATCAAAACAAATGCAACCGGGAATGATAATTTGAATATTTCTTTGATAAAACTATGTTGCCCATTCATTATAGAATACATCACATATATAATAAATTTCTGTCTAAGAAAAAGTGTATTTCCAGAATCATGGGGTAGTGCTCTTGTAAAAGTACTGCCTAAAAAATCAAACCCGACCGAGTATAAGGATCTGCGCCCCATAAGTATACTTCCAGCTATTTCTAAAATATTGGAGAGGGCCATCGAGTTTCAACTTTTGGAACATACTGAGAAATATAATGTGCTACCATCTGTTCAATCTGGATTCAGAAAAGGGTTCAGTTGTGCAACAGCACTGCTACATGTTGTAGATGATATTGTCAGAGCAACAGATGACGGGAATTGTACCGCTCTGGTACTACTCGACTTCAGCAGAGCCTTTGATACTATAAATCATGAGTTGTTGATATCCATATTACATTACATTGGCCTGTCAGCTGCAGCTATATTATTGGTTAGAAATTACCTCAATAATAGAACTCAAAGAGTTGCAATTGGTGAGGTGCTCTCATCTCTACTTCCTCTTCAGCGGGGAGTACCACAAGGGTCAATTTTGGGACCAATTTTATTTGCAATCTACACTTCAAATCTCATCAATAATCTGGATGAATGCAGAGTGCACTTTTACGCAGATGATACCCAAGTTTATTACAGCTTTCCTCCTCAAAGTGTAGAAGTTTCCTGTGAAATAATCAATAAAAATCTGAATGAGTTTGTTAAAACTGCCACAGACCATTGTCTACTGTTAAACTCTCGTAAGTCTAATGTGTTACTGTTTGGACCCAAAACCAAACGATCTGCAGTACTAGAATCCGTAAATAAACTACTCAACACTAATTTCGTCGCACACCAAAATGTCGCCCCTGTTATAATGTGAATAACTTTTTTCAGTTTAGAACAATTTGAATTTGGTTCACACTGTTCGATAGCCCAGTCCTTCAGCTATAATCTCGTACTTCATTGAAACATAAGGGTATTCACATAAAATCTCTACATGGTGTTTTCCGACACTGTGCGAAATTTCGGAATATTCAAAAGGCTCTCAAATGGTGAAAAAAATTTTTTTCTCAACTTTGACAACAGAGGCAAGAAGATGATCTCATTACCTCGAGATATTTCGCGAATCAACTTCCTATCTCTCTTATTTACAGAGTGATCTCAAAAAATCAACTTTTTGGTTTTGCAGCCATAACTTTTTTCCACGTCAACCGATTTTGGAAATCTTAGGCTCATTTTTAAGATAAAACTTCGGATGAAGAGATCTGAATATCAGAATTGACTCAAGATGGCTATCAAAGATCTAGAGTTTTCTTGAAAGTGACCCAAATCTGGAACGCCCTTCGAATCTTGGTTGGGAGGAGAATTGAATGAAAATCAACTTGTTCTCGGAAAAACAATTCATTCTGGATGCGTCCATATTTTCCTCGTTCTCAGTACTCAGGAATGTGCGTGAGAAAACACAATTGAAACATGTTCTTGCAAAAAACATCAGACCATTTCTCCTCTGTGATGCATGGCCCGTAACCAACGTTACAAGAATCACAGTAAGTGACTGACAAGTCAGGTTAGACGTCGTTTTCGAATCATAAACATATTTTGATAGTTTCGATGCCGCATCTAACGCCCGACCAGTTGGAACTGATTCCACAAATGAGGGAACAAGGGTTATCTTCCCTCCAAATCGCGGATCTGCTAAACACGACAGTCCGATCCATTCAAAGGGCTTATCTCCGACACGAATTGTTTGGTTATTACTGTCGATTCGTTCGGCGCATTATTGCGACTGAAAACTTAACGTAATTGGCAAACTGTTTTCGTGAAACTTTCACCATTTTTGAAATGCGTTTTTACAATAAATAAACGTTGTTTGCGTGAATCCTTCTCCATATTCTTAAATCGCATTTTATGTACGTGACAACTGTTAAAAAAATCACTTTATTGAAAAAATCAAAATCCGTTGCTCTTGTTGGTACACCATTTATGATGAGCCTCAGCTGGTCGGGTTTGTCAGTCACTCATTGTGATTCTTGTAACGTTGGTTACGGCGGAAATGATCTAATGTTTTTGCAAGAACATGTTTCAATTGTGTTTTCTCACGCACAATTCTTGACTACTGAGAGCGAGGGAAATATGGACGCATCCAGAATGAATTGTTTGTCCGAGAACAAGTTGATTTTCATTCAATTCTCCTCCCAACCAAGATTCGAAGGGCGTTCCAGAGTTGGGTCACTTTCAAGAAAACTCTAGATCTTTGATAGCCATCTTGAGTTAATTCTGATATTCAGATCTCTTCATCTGAAGCTTTATCTTCAAAATGAGCCTAAGATTTCCAAAATCGGTTGACGTGGAAAAAAGTTATGGCTGCAAAACCAAAAAGTTGATTTTTTGAGATCACTCTGTAAATAAGAGAGATAGGAAGTTGATTCGCGAAATATCTCGAGGTAATGAGATCATCTTCATGCCTCTGTTGTCAAAGTTGAGAAAAAATTTTTTTTCACCATTTGAGAGCCCTTTGAATATTCCAAAATTTCGCACAGTGTCGAAAAACACCATGTAGAGATTTTATGTGAATACCCTTATGTTTCAATGAAGTACGAGATCATAGCTGAAGAACTGGGTTATCTAACAGTGTGAACCAAATTCAAATTGTTTTAAACCGAAAAAAGTTATTCATATTATAACAGGGGCGACATTTTGGTGTGCGACGAAATTAGTGTTGAGTAGTTTATATCAATAAATGGTGAACCAATTCAGCTGGTAGAGGAAGCTAAAAATCTTGGGGTCATCCTTGATCATACTCTCAGATTTGAAAAGAATGTTGATAATCTTTTGCGACGTGCATATTTTTCGCTGAAAACTATTTATGGTGTTAGGCATGTTCTTCCTTTTAAATTGAAAGTTATTATGTGTGAAACTCTCGTTTTATCACATTTCAATTATGCCAATTGTGTCTATGGACCACATTTAACAAAACTTTACAAAAATAAGATACAAAAGCTCCAGAATTCATGCTTGAGATTGATGTATGGGAAAAGAAGAGGCCAGAGAATCTCTCATAAGATGAAAGATGCTGGTTGGCTGACTATGGAAAACAGGAGACTTCATCAGACCGCTAACCTCTTTCATAGAATTATCATCAGTAAAAAACCTTCCTATCTCCATAAAAAAATTGTTTTCCGTACGGACGTTCACAATGTGAATATTAGGTTTAGAGGAGTATTGTCTCCTCCCCCTTTCAAAACAGAACTTTTCCGAAGATGCTTCAGTTATCAAATATGCCATATTTACAATAATATTCCACATCAATTGAAATCAGCAGTGTTTCATAAATTCAAAACGAATATATTTTCACATCTGTTTAATTCAAATCAATAACAACATTCAGACT